AAGAACAAATCACCTGGGCTTGACTCTCTTTCTAATGAAATTGTACAGCACTTTCATGCAGTGGATAGCACATTTCTACACAGACTTTTCAACCTTTGTTTACAATTAGCAGTTTTTCCAGCACAATGGAAGAGAGCTCGGGTTGTTTTGATTCCTAAAACGTTAGATACAAGAACCCCTTATCTTGATAATATTAGTTGCATTAGTCTTTTGCCTACTTTGGGAAAATGTCTTGAAACTCTCTTCATTAACAGAATAAATTGGTATTTGAGATAAAAATGCTTTTATAATGATTCTCAGTTCGGATTTACTCCTCGGAAGTTCGCTGAAGACGCCATTATTCGCCTTTGTAATATCTTGCAGTGTGCAAAGAAAATGAAGTATACTACACTTCTTATTTTCCTGTATTTCAAAGGAGCTTTTGATAATGCTTGGTGGCCATCTATCTTAAAAATTTTTAAAAATGCTGGTATACCACATAATATCTATAACCTTCTTAAAAGCTTCTTGAACGAGAGGACTGCTGAGCTTCGGCTTGGGAACGAAGCTAAGGTTTATTCTCTAGAAAAAGGCTGTCCTCAAGGCTCTGTATCCGGACCTACTCTTTGGAACATAATCATAAATGATCTCTTAAGTCATCTCGACGGTTGTTTAAAAATTGCATTTGCAGACGACTTACTATTAATTTTCCAAGGAAGGATTTTGAATAACATTCTTTTGAGAGCACAAGAAGTTCTAGATTTTGTCTCTAGTTGGGCGATTTCTCATAAACTCACTTTCAATCCTTCAAAAAGTAAAGCTATGCTTGTTCCCAGTACGTTTGATGAACAAAATATTGCTTCTTTGATGCTCGATAATTCTCCGTTGGAATTTGTAGAAAATGTTAAATATCTTGGTGTCATTCTTGACCAAAAATTAACATGGAAAAAGCACATTGAATTCCTTTCTGCTAAATGTGAAAAAATTATTAATGGCTTTTACCGAATTGCCACAAATACTTTTGGAGTAAGCTACGATGATAAGAAACTCATGTATAAGCAGTGTATTGTACCTTTCATTTCGTACGGCTGTAGTGCTTGGGGACATGTTCTTGCCAAGAAGGTTAACAAAAGAAATTTAAGAAAGATTCAACGGAGAATTCTTCTTCGTATTATTAGTGGTTATAGAACCTTAAGCTATGAGGCTACTTTTGTTCTTGCAGGAGTTCCGCCTATTAATTTTGAAATTGCATATAAGAATAATATTTTTGAGTCATTGGCAACTCATGCTTCGGAAGACTGTATTAATGGAATTGTCCCCTTCACTGATCTTCCTCATCCCGCTTCTTTAGAACCCATAAATTTCTGCGATTATAAAGAGACTGCTGAGATAAGTTTTCATATGGTTTTCTTACAGATGGCAGCAAGATGAACAACAAGGTTGGCCTTGCATTTGTTCTTTTTGAAGGCCATTCCGAGATTTGTTTTCTTAGACACCGTATACGGAATGGATGTACAGTTTTTCAAGCAGAACTTCTGTATATTTATCTTGTCGTCAAATGGATCCAGGATCATGGGACAACATCCTCAAAGTACCTTATTTGTTCTGCTTCTCTTTCTTCTCTTCAACTTTTGAACAGTATTACCAGCTGCGATAAATTAGTTATCGAAACCCTAGTAACTGTTAGTTCACTTAGAATTAGAGGTATTGATATCTGCTTTGCTTATGTGCGTGCTCATCATGGTTTCTACGGAAATGAAAGAGCTGATTTCTTAGCTAAAGATGCCTTAAATTTACCCATTAATATCAACATTAGCATTCCAAAGAGTTATTGGAAGTCCTTTCATTATAAAAAGCTTTTAGCAATGTGGAATGAGGAATACATTTCATCTTGTAATGCTGAAGTCACCAAAAGGTTCCTTCTATTTACCATAGACTGAATTCCGACTCTTTCCTCTCGTTAAATTTTAAAGTGTTTCAGTTTTTATCTGGTCACGGTAAATTTGCAAGTTATCTGTTTCGTTTTAATCTACGATCAAACAATTTATGTGAATGTTCAAAAAGTGTTCCTCAGGATGTGGAACATTTGATTTTCTCGTGCCCTACATTTGATGGCCCTAGATTATACTTACATAACGATTTGAAAATGTTCGGAGTGACGTGGCCAGTGAACTTATCTGTTTTCGTGAAGTCCAGACTGCTGTTCTCTGCTTTTGTTCGCTTTATTTATGCATGTAATTTTTAATGTTTATTTATACATGTAACCTTTAATGTTCTAGTTAACTTACTTCTGTAAGCCCCGTGTTGTACATATGTGGTGCACGGGGAGTCTGTATGTTCTCAAAGAAAAAAAAAATTATAATTCTACGTGAAACTAACTTTGTAAGACTCAAAAATATATTGTTACGCACGGGTTCTTAATGAATTGAACTACTTTATAGTTTGGGAAGTTTTCACACAAAAGTACTCCTACAGCTGTTCCGAGTATGAAAGAGTGTCAGTAGTTACCACTTTCAACCTACTTAAGAAAATGGAACCCAAGGTAACGCTAAGAGCCTCAAAAGCGCAAGCTCGCATAGTACCCTTTCAACATTCTAAATACTCAGAATTCTGAATACTGTGAGTTAAATATTGAACTAAAATCTGTTGCTCTCTCCGGTCTATTATATATATATATTTTTTTTTTCCCGTCTGCCGAGAAATTTTCCGTACTTTCGATTTCTCAAACACAGTTACACTTACACAAGGCAGGAAACAGTTACAGTTACATAACGATTGGTCTAAAATGTCTCCGGATGGTAACCACGCAACTTTTGGCTATTTCTCGCCAAGTTTGGCGACAGTCTACAAAATCAGTTAACATCAGTCTTCAAAACCGGTATCTATTTCACCAGTTTAACAAAATAGACAGATTTTTTTCCAGTGCCGGGCACTTGCCTATAAAGGCATTGGCCACTACTGAGGACAGAAGGATGGCCATTTTATTGTGGAGGCACCTAATAGGCGGCCACCGTTACCTCCTATGAAGGAACACACAATTTTACACGCATGCCTTCCCCGGGATTCGAAAGCGGTCCCTTTGGTATCGCAGTCAAGCTTCCCTAACCACTATACCGTCTGAGTGGGGCGAGATTGACATTTACCTCAATGTTTAATGGACTTAATCTGTAACCTTATTTTTCTGGCGATGCTTCGCATCCTGAGGCCTTTCATGTTATATTATACAAGACATCTATAATATGCATTTAATTTCACTAAATTTATTTACATATGCACAAAATTCGTAACAATATTAGCTAATTATGTGCATAAGCAAATAAGCGATATTCTCGGAACTGCATATTTGCTTAAACTAGAACTTCTGCTATCGCTTCCTTATTTCTTCTTTTTCCCCTTAGACTTCTGCAGTATCTATCAATGATTCGCATGAAAATAATAACAATGATATCCGTCACTTGATCTGACTGATATATTCATTTATTGTTATTTCTGAATAAAACGGTTTGCGCTCTCAAACCACTGGTAATTGTTTATAACCTCAGATAAATGTCAAACAAAAACAACCAATTTTCAACAATTTTTAAATGCTCTAAGCGATTATTAATTAATTCAATAATTCTGAATGCTCTAAGAGATAATTAAAAATGTTTAATACGTTAATACTTAATCAAGAACGAATATTTTGAATACAGACTGCGAATGATGTGCCTATTACAAATATTTGACTTATGATAATTTCACTGCCACTGGTACTAGTTTCATTGCAATAATATAAAAAACCCATATTTTATTTCTCCTTATTTAGCATCTAATATTAAGGTAAGTAGTCTCAACTTAAAGCAAAATGTCAGTTACTTATAAAAGTGTTACTTAAACCACTGATAAACACTGAGCGACTTCAGATTCCTTAGTAGCCCTTTTTGGACTAAAAATTCCACATCTTTAATTTAGTTTAATTTAATATATATTTTGGGGATTTCTCTTTAGTTGAGGGTGTGAGATTGTCGACTTTTGGTGAAATACCTACTTTGCAACAATTATAAAGGCGATAGTCAGTCGAATATGATAATTCGCTCAAGGAGATTAGAATAAATGAAAAAGTCTTCCTTATATATCCTATGCAATGAAAGTGGAGACATGAAACGTCACGACTTATGGCCAATGGATCGTAGCCACTAAACGATGCCTCCTTGGTTTTCTTAAAATTCTAATTGGTGTTATGTATATGTCAGCTATACATCATTTGTAAGTCGTACATTTATAAGTCTTTCTCGTGATTTTGATACTTAACATGGATCATTTTCTTAGTATATATATACATATATATATGTATAATGTGCTACACGGTGGCCATGATAATCCGTGATGTCATATTGTTGACATTTGTTTTCCATCTTTAGGAAGTTTACCCTTGACTTCACTTCCGTGCCGTCATGTTTACTCCCTTTATTCTAATTTCCTTAAATTTGCGCCGATACTGAGTTAAAAATTTTGTCACCAACGTTGTCCAAATAATACTGGACTGGCAAAGCCAGTTTCGTAAATCTAATTGAAGATTAATCTTTACTCTTGATTAACTTCAAAACTTCTACTAAGCTTTTTAATTTCATTGTCATTTTTGTTTTAAGTGTCATACGCTCTTAGAGTGAATGTATTTAGCATCAAGATATGGAGAAATAAATTTTAATTTATCAGAGTAGTTAGAAGAGCAACAAAAGTTAGCAATGTGTCATTCGTCTTGGAAATGAAATGCTCTCGTAACAGTAACAGAAAATCAGTTTCATTTAATGAAGTTGCTATATAAGAACTATGAATGGTAAAGAAACTCATTTTGGAAAGGATTAAAAACAAAGGTGACTACAGATTGGGTGGACTTTAATAATATCAATAAAATATATAAACTGATTTTAATATAATATATTTATTATTATATTATAATTTTATTAAAATATATAAACTGAAAATTACAATGAGTCTTATACACTCATAATTACAGAGCTAAGTTGATCTCCAGTTAGAAGTACGAGGTTCGTGACTTTTAACAAAGAATTTATTGGGCGAAATTCTAAGGGCTATTTTCTATAAAATACAATAATTTTCTTCAGTACTGAGAGAGCAAACTTGTCACTAATGGTGTCCAAATATAGCCGACAATAACCGAAAACAATATAGTAGCCTAAACAACATTAGCACACTGCCATATTGAAAAAGAAAAGAAGCAAAAACTCTATTTATCTTCTTTTTTATAACATACTGTAAATGTATAAATTTGTTACATTTAGTAAAGCTGTTCTATTTTTAATCAGACTTTCGTTGTCAGTATGAGTCCTATAATAAGTCCATACAATCCAAGAACCTCGGCAAAAATGAGCATTAGAATGATGGCTACAAAGAGATTAGGTTGCTGAACTGAATACCTGACTCCAGCTTCTCCAACTAGGCCAATAGCATAGCCAGAACCCATACCACTCAAACCAACTGTAAGACCAGCTCCAAAATGTAAAAATCCTGTATATAGCGTATATCCCTCTGCTGATGAAAATATACTGTTTGCAATTAAAATGGCTTCTACGAGTCCGTAAATAGCTACGATCCCACTCATAACTACTGGAATGAGTGATTTCATAACCAAATCTGGTCTCACTGTTCCTGCTGCTGAAATAGCAGTTCCAGACTTCAGCGTACCATATACTGCTCCAAGAGAACTTAAAATCATTGCAACAGATGCTCCCATCGATCCAAAAAATGGAGCATAAATAGGTTCTTCTTCCAACATTGCTTTCGTAAGTATTATAATAATAAAAATTATTTAATTTTTCCCACTCGAAGTACTGAAAATGGAATTAAAATAACAATTCTCATGGATGTAAGCTGATTGGTAAAACTGAGTTGTTGCCACATTGTAAAAAAATTAAACAAAAATTTGAGGATTATGTAAAATCAATTCCGTTTTCTGTTTTTATTTTGTACAATCTTACGTTTTTCCAAGGTCAAATGTATTTAATATTAATTTCTATGATTTTATAAAACTTTATTCCTTTTTACTTTAATAAATATTATTTGGAAACAACGAAGAGTCACTTGTTTTAATTTATCCTCGTTGCCTCGGAAAGCTTCCCCCCCCTCCCAGAGGATTACATAAACAACAGAATGAGAATTATTTATTTTGAATAAAATGTCTCAGCTTACTATGATTTTAATCTGAAATTAAATTTGAAAAGCTACAATTTCTAACGTGCTCAGAATTTATAACAATAAAGCCCAAACTAATACTGAAAATAAAAATAAAAAGATTAAATTATTTTACATACGAGATACATATTATATCGCGTTAGAAATGTTGCCACTACTATAGAAAAATGGGATCTAGTCTTTTGAATGTCACGTTATCATGACATCAGTCGCATTTTTTCGTGAAATGCGGGTTTTATATTTTCTTCATTTTAGTTTGTGAGTCTCTTCTGACAAAGAGAAATTTATTTTAGTCAAAGAGGCGTTAAAAGAGAAGGGCTATTAGTTTCGAAACGGCATATTGTGTCGAATGCGCTGAAAGCGCTGAATCATTTTTCAAGAGTGCACTCGTACTAAAAAGAGCTCAATAAAAGATGGCGCTGAATCACAGATAAGATACTAAAAAGCGCTGAATCACTTTTCAAATTGTTGCCATCAAATATTATCGCCCTCTATGTTATTTCAAGAAATTAATTAATGAAGAATCAGCATGAATGTATGTATGTTCCTGTGTGCATTGTGAAAAAACAATGGAACCTAAAGACATCAAATTTTGAATAACATAGTCCTCCGCCCGAATATTAGGCACCTGGCAGCCCGAATTTTGAATTTCGAATTTGTTTTATTATCTATTTGATATTTGAAAATTTTAAAGAATTTTGGATTAAAAACTCAACGATTTCAAAAAAAGTAGAGGCAACACTATGCGGAATAAAACATTTTTATCTCCAGCACGCCAGAATGTCAGAAATGCTGGTTTAAAAATATTTTAGACTAGAAGAGCGTTAGCCCAAATGCTCTCGAAACGTGTATGAGTGGTGTAAATTAAAATACGCGCCTTTAGACATAATAAGTTTTCAGATTTTTTTGACATGTTCTTTTGTTAATACTAATACGAATATATATATGTGATGTACCAGCTTTTGTCCAGAATAAATAGATTAGTCAAGAATCATAGACGTAGTAGAAGCTCAAAATATCAGACGATAAGTTTAAAAAAAAGAATCCATTTATTATTATTTAGGAGAAATAGCAGTTACAAAAATCAGATCTCTGGAGTAAATAAAAAAGAACTACTAATAACTTTTTGTATGAAGTTTATTGCATCGTTACGTTAAAGAAAAGACTCCGATATTCCTTTGCGAGTCTTTTTATAGCCTCTGGAAAGGCGGAGCTTCCAAGAAATGACGTCAGCCTCGTCAACCAATCCAGTTCGCTTTAAATATTTACAAAACATTCTATAACTATACGTGTAGAAAAGGCGGGAAAAAACAACTTGACTACGGGGCTGTGGATTTAATTCTACGTATTTTCAAATAAGAGACCGTCGCCATTAAAAATGAAAAGAACAAACAGTTAGAATTTTAAGTGTATTCTTGACTATGGAATTTTATTACACACACACACACACACACACACATATATATATATATATGTATTGTTAACCTAATTTTGAGTAGTGTTTGACTAAAGGGTATATAATTATAAAAATAATAAGACACTGTCAGGACTTGTGTTTCTCTTGATTTGCTTTGGAAACATGGTGTGTCCTGAATAGGAACAGGGAGCTTATTCAAGCTATGTTCAAGATTTGTGTATAACAGACGACACAAGCAGGAAGGGTATACGAAACCCTTTATTTTCTATACTTTTACAAGTACTCCCGAACTTAGGGATACAATGTCCAACCACTTGTGGTCTGAACGTAAGAATATGAAACTACTAACTAAAACTCTAACTAAAAGCTAACTTTGAATTAAATGCCTAGCACTAAGACTGGCCTTTATTTAAAAGGGTACGTATGTAGTACGCCGAGCTGCTGAAACTACGATACGTTTACAAATATCAAGAGGGCTAAACCTCTGGACTAAACCTCTGGAAAAGCTGGTACATCACATATATATATTCGTATTAGTATTAACAAAAGAACATGTCAAAAGAATCTGAAAACTTATTATGTCTAAAGGCGCGTATTTTAATTTACACACTCATACACGTTTCGAGAGCATTTGGGCTAACGCTCTTCTAGTCTAAAAATATTTTAAACCAGCATTTCTGACATTCTGGCGTGCTGGAGACAAAAATGTTTTATTTAGCATAGTGTTGCCTCTACTCGTTTTGAAATCGTTGAGTTTTTAATCCAAAATTCTTTAAAATTTTCAAATATCAAATAGATAATAAAACAAATTCGAAATTCAAAATTCGGGCTGCCAGGTGCCTAATATTCGGGCGGAGGACTATGTTATTCAAAATTTGATGTCTCTAGGTTCCATTGTTTTTTCACAATGCACACAGGAACATACATACATTCATGCTGATTCTTCATTAATTAATTTCTTGAAATAAAATAGAGGGCGATAATAAACCAGCAACCGAGTGAAAACTCGTAAAACTGCAGTGGCAAGCGACTTACTTCCTGAAACTCCTTCTCTCTCTCTTGGCAAAAAGCCGCAACTTACGTAAATACTTGGGCGTTAGCAAGACAATTTGCATAAACAAGTTAAAGCATTTAATTCTGGCCGGAAGTAGAAAATAAGAAGTGATAGTACAGTTTTAAAATAAAATAAACGTTTGTAAAACTTAGGATCCTTACAATACTAAGAAGTTTTATGATTTCCTTTTTGTGAATATTCAGATTTATGTAATCTTATGTCACAGTTCCTTACTGTCGTTTAGTAAATGTCCGTGTCTTGAAACTCTGCTCTCCTCATACCTTCTGATCTAGTATCACAAATTATCTAAAGTTTATAAAGAAAGACTATAACATGAAACATATTATTCATTAACTATAAAAATGGTAGTATTTTTTAACTACAAAAATGATGGAAATGTCCATAAAACTTATAAATTGGATGAATTATTAATTTATCAATTAAGATTCTAAAACGAAAATAAAAGCATAAGTTATCAAGAAATACTTGCACTAATTTTAAATTGCGCATATCTAAAGAAATTAAAGTTATAATTTACAAGATCGTAGAATCATTAGGATTTTTGAAGTAGGAAACACGAAAAATGAGTAATGCCCTCACCGGAACTTGAACCTAGACCTCTGAAATACAAGTCGAGTGTGCTATCGTTACACCACGAAACATGCAGAACGGAGGGAGAAAATATCTTATATATTCCCGCTTTTAAAAGGCGACTGGGGATTAGGGAACCCAATCGCCAACTCCTGGTTATGAAGAATAATCAATCACCAACCTTTTAGTTCAGGCGCCACTATGGAGTCCTTAGAATTTTTGAAGTAGGAAACACGAAAAATGAGCAATGCCCAGGCCAGGACTCGAACCTGGATTTCTCGAATATGCGCCGAGTGTGCTACTGTTACACCACGAAGGGATGCAGAAAGGAGGTAGAAAATACCTTATAAGATCAATTAAAATTCCATGTCGAATGACAGCATTTTCCGATATAGCTACTGACTGGTTATTTGCAGACTCGCAGAAAATAAAAATCTTGTACTTCAACTGAAATGATCTTACTTCTGATGTAAAAACAATAATTCTTTGTTAGTTTGGATGATGAAAAATGATTCAGCCCAGTACCAAGTATTTTATTTCGGCCTTACAGTATTTTGTGCTTTATTTTGCAACGGAGTAAAGGAGAGATATTTCTCGAAACTTCAAAATATCTCAGATATATTCATACAATATCGCAATATTACGCAATATAATCAGTAGCTATACTTTAAACAACTAAAAACAATAAAATATAATGCAGTTGCAACGTCAAAGCTAATCCAATGTCTTGCTGAACTCTAAATAATAACAACAGCAGCTAACTAAACAACTACTTGCAATAACAGTAACTAAGCAACGGAGCTGAGATGTCTCTTTCAGACTTTTTAAAGCTTTCAATCGGTCATGAGAGAGTTGTTTTGGAAACCAACAAGAGGAGGGAATTACAGTTACAGCTAACACAGTAGTTAATTACATTTATTAAATTTCAATACAAATAAAAGAGATATCAATGTTAAATACATGTGCTCTTATATTTTTTATTTTTTAGCATAGCTTTCTCTTAAAATTTGTCTCGCGCTGCACTGCTCAGGGAAATAAAACAATTTTTAGTAGAATTATAATAAAAATTGTTTTATATCCCCATGCAAGGCAGCACAAGATAGATTTTAAGAGAAAGCTACTCCGGAAAAGTAAAAATACATTAGCATGCTCATTTAATATTTAATAAATAGATATCTCGTAATTTATATTTGAATATATTTAAATTGAATAAATGTAATTGACTATTGTGTTATCTGTAAACGTAATTCTACTCATTTTGCTCTCCAGAAATTGCCAGAACCATCTCTCAGCTCAGTATTTAGTGAGTTGTTTACTTAGCTGCTGTAATTTTGTTGATCGGATAAGCTTTCTCTGCGCTTTGGATGGCGCTTTATTCAAACGCTTTTAGTAGTTTAAAGGATAGCTACTAATTATATTGCGTGATAATGTGATATTGTATGAATATCTTTGAGAGAAAATCCAGCGCTTTGTTAAATTTCCTGCGATAAGAATAAATTTTATTAACTTTTTATCGAACCTT